TAGGTACTTATTAATTTATAAAATTTTATACTATAAAAATTATTGTTGTTATTTTTTTTAATTTATGAAACTTTATTTGTTCAATATAGCTAAGTGGTGGAACAGCTTATGAAAATGATGCTCCAACGCTTAGAAAGATTGCAATGCGGATTTTGAGTCAACCAACTTTCACTTCAAATTGTGAGAGTAATTGGAGCACTTTTAGCTTAGTGCATACGAAGATAAAAAACAAGTTGAATTATAAAAAATTACACAAACTTGTTTATCTTCATTACAACATGAAGTTGAGGTTAAGAAATATATTACGAAAGAGTCGAAAGAATTAGAAGAAAGTTTTAATCCAATTAATTTGGATTACATGTTTTATAAAGATGATCCACTCGTCTCCTTGGTTGAAGGAAAATGAACAACTAGTCCTTGATGGACAAAATATGGATTGATTACATGTGCATGATGATGATAGCAATGATGACGGTGGTGATGATGAAAACTATCAAAACAATTCTAATGATCAAACTAATCCGCATGATAGTGATAATGGTTATGATGATGATTAAGATGAGGAACCTAGTGATCTAGGAGCTTCTCATAATAGTAATAGCAGAAGTAGCAATGATGAAGGTCGTGGAAAAAGAATAGCTTTTGATAGCAGTGTCAATCCGAGTTCTATATAGGCGTGGGTTGCATGGTCCTACCGCACCTAGATCCGATGCTAGAAATAAAACACCAATAGTAAAGCAACAACAATTTAGAGGTACTATACTCGCATGATCAAGGACATCACTCGTCTCTTTCAAAGATAATTCGACTTCTAATTTCAATTATGGTTAAGGACAATACTACCATCCACAAGGTTCATAAGTATATGGTTATGTATCTTTATATGAAACTTCATTAGACTAGTCAATTTCAAATCCATAATATCCTCAACAAATTGGATCATCCATTGTCGCTTCATTATGTGGGCAATTGGATTTGGAAAGATAATATAATTATGGTTGTAATTTTGATAGACTAAGATCATAACATCAACAACAAGATGATAACTATTATTATGATCCTCCATGATGACCTTTTTGGAGATGAATATTTTATAATGTTTATATTGAAATTATAATGTATTTTATTATTTTTTATATGATATTAATCTATTAGAAGTGTTTTTAATTATTTTTTAAATAAATTTAGCTATTGTTATATGTTATTAAACTATTGGAGATATTATTACTTATTATTATGTTTAATTAGTACAACTATAAAAAAATATGAATTAGAATAAATTTATTATCGATTGCTAATTTATTCACATAATTGATTGTTGTAATCGTTATTTTATGACCGCGATGAGGCTCGATCCGCGATAGCGATTGCAATCGTTTTTTCAACGGCGATCGCTATTTAAAACTATGGGTCTACCAACTAGCTCTCGATCGCACCACACTTACGTGGAGGAGGCATATAATGTTGATAACTCTATTGTTCGATCAATGTTTAAAACTCTAAATTTATGTAATTTTATCAATTTGTTAGCATTTAATGAAGAAACCAAACAAGTGGTTGCTGCAGCTATCATGTAAATCTCTAAAGGCCAGTATGGTGAGTGTTTTGTAGCCAACTATCCAGTTGGAAAGATGGCAAGGAATCACGAAAATGACTTGCTTTTCACCGATACTGGTTATTGTGTTGAAAAAACCAATCACAACTGTCTACTTTATATAGAGATTAACGTGATTGATAGCCTTATTTGCACGACCTTTATTGATATTGGTTCATCTTTAAATATCACGCCGCTCACAACCTTAAGGGGTCTAAGGATGGATAAAAAGCACGTCATCTTCAAAAGCCCAATTACCAAAAAAGGTCGAAGTTGAGACCGGACTAGTGTTTATAAAGATGCCATTGCTAGGTGCCGCCCAAGCTTTCACGTCAGTTCCTATTTAGAATGCATGTTTACGTTTTGATGTCCCAAATATGACGTTGCTAATTAGTAAATTATAAATTAGTAGTAGTTTTACAAAATGATTTAAATAGTTTCTTTAGTTTTAAAAATTAATTTAGTAGTTTTTTTCATCAGTTTCATGTCTTTTTCCAAATCATTTTTTTTAATTTTGTTGAGAAATAGAAAAGATAAAAAATTAAATAGATATTATGGAAATATTGATGAAAAAATAGGATATAGTTTTAGAATAAATTAATATTAAATCAAGCATGGTTAATATTAGCTACATAACTAATTAATTAATTTTTAAAACAGGAGGGATTATTTAATTTATTTTGTAAAAAAGGAGGGACTAATGTGCTGATAATTAAACATTACAATAATAGTTCGGAGTGCCTGAGTCATTGATTGAGCTATTTAAATTTTAAATTGTATGGTTGTAGATAAGCTTATCATGAATTTGTCCTGAGATTGATGTGTAAATAGAATGGACATGTTTTGCCAAAAAATGAAAGATATAGTAGATTAAGAAGTGTCTTGACATGCAATTTCTATATTATTCAAGGGTCAGCACTCTTGAGAAAAAAAAAATAGAAATAGAAATAGTTGTTTTAGGTTGTGTTCGATATGATGTTAAAAATTTGAAGGAGAAATGTTAAAAAGATAATATTTAAATGTGAAGTGTTGTGGCTGTAAATGATACAAAGGAATGAAGTGTTAAGAATGTTTAATAGAAATTGAAAAAAATTCAAGATAATAGTGGGTTTCAATATAAATCAAATCAAAACTCAGATTAAATATAATTATAAGAAGAAGTTAAATAATATATATTTATGATAAAAAAATGTAGGTGGAAGAAGAAGAAAAAAAGATATGATAATGTTAAATTGAAAAAATATAGAAAAATGTGTAAGATCTCAAAATCCCCCTCCCCCGTAAAAATCCCTTACCCCTCATTTGGGGTTATTTGTTACCCTTTCTCTGGTAAAATTTATATCAAACCCCATACCAAACATACGATTAGGGTTATTTCAGATAAGTTTGTAGGGACTAATTTGTAGAAAGTATCAGATGTAGGACTAATTTTGTAAGATTGTAAAAACAGATGTTAGTAGGTTTTGAAAAGTCAAAGTACTATTAGGGAAAAATAAAAGTGTGAAGGGTTAAAAAATCCGTACGTAAGTTGGTGTACGAGAAAGCATTTATCCACCAAGATGACAGCCCCCATTTCTCAACAACTGTTCTTTAGCGGAGTAGAAGCATTTTAAGCAAATAGTCAATGCAATCGAAAACTAACTACCGTCTACTTATTGAATTCTGCAGGCAACTGCAGTAGATGCATTAAACAAAAGAGAGTCGTCTTTTATTTGATTACCACGTGAGTAATGCTAGACATGATTTTAAATGACAACTATTAAATGCTAACAATCATGTGTGTGTGTGGTTTGAGCATGTCCGTTAACATTATATATATTATTATAAAGAGTATAATAATGTTTCATACAAATAACATCATTAGATACTATTATCGTTATATAATATTATTATTTAAAAAAATTAATTTTTATATTTTATTATTATTTATGTGATATTAAATTATTAGAATCGATATTAACTTTTATTATTATTAATTTAATTATTATTGTATGATATTAAATTTTTAAAGATTTATTATATTTAATTAATAAAACTATTAAAAATATATAATTTAAAGTAAATTTATTAATAATTGTTAGTCCGTTCTTGACATTGGTTGCCGTAATTATTATTTTACTATTACGATAAGTCACGATCCGTAATTTCAATCACGATCGTTTTACAACTATATATGCGATTTAAAACAATATAGTAGAATACTTTTTATTTTTAAAGTAAAAACTTCTTGATTAACTTATTGACATCTTGTGATTGGTGTTCTGGAAGTGAAGCAATCCATGATTACAATAATAATTATTTATTTCATTAAATGTAATTAGATATGAAATTCGAGATTAAAAAATGATAAATATATAATTATATAATATTCTCTTTTTCAATCACGCTCTTCTATAAAAAAATCAATTAAGTATCACTTTAATGTGTTTAGATTTTTTAATGTAGCATTCTGTCAATTATTTTTGTTAAATTTGATGGTAACATACATAACACGTAAATATTTCAATATGAATTTATAAAAACATTAATTTAATTCAATAAAACACAAAACATGAATAATTTTAATATCAATTTAAGTCAATGCAGCACAAAACAAATATATATATGTTATTGGTGTAGGATTTCGAACTCCAATAAGTTTTGTTACAAATTGAAATTATTAAGTGTATCGTGTGTGAAGGTTAATTTTATTATGTTTATTTAAAAGGATATTTTCTATTCTCTTAAAGAGGCTTTTCATTGATTCATCTTGAAGATTATGTAATTTTAACAAAGATATTAATTGACAGAAATGAGTATATATTAGCTAATGAGAACAAACTAAAGTTACAATCAATTCTATATATATATATATATATATATATATAAAAGAGGGCATGATTGAGAAATAGCGTAATATGTAAGGATATATTGATATGTTTTGCTTATAACTTAATTCTAATTACTAAAACATATTTTATGTAACTGGTAAAATTGTAAATTTATAATCCGGTTATGATATGATGACAACGTTTGTTGTTTCATTCTACAAATTAGTGGTGTGTTCTTGAAGACGTTTTTTTCTTTTTTCAAATTATCTTATTTTATTGCTGCATCTTAGAAAATTGGGGAAACAAAACAAAGCATTAGACGGCTAAATCCGCGGGCGAGTTTGGCATGGCGCGGAATATTCAAGGGACGATGTCCTTTGAGCCGTGTCCTTCACGTTTGATAATTAATGTCTTAGCAAACACCAAACAAAATAAACGTGAAATAAAATTCATTTAATATGTGTTGACTGGGAGGATTGAAAAGAAGAGAAGAAAAAAGAAGTGGGTGGAATCAAGTCTAGCTAGGAATATTGCAAAAAATGGAGAGGCTTCCATGCTCTCTTATTCAATGGCTATTACCACAACCGCAACTCTTCATGATTTTGCTAATTATCTCACCCCTTATCCAAACATCTCAAGCTGATGTTGGGACTGCTGCCCAGTACAGTCCTCCATATTTACGTAAGTAGTCACAGATGTAGATATTATTAAGTTTCCCTGTCATTTGCAAGCATCCGTATTTCACAAATCGTATGATCACAAGTAAATCATTTTCTCTATGACTTTGGTATAGCCACGAGTTGTTACAGTGAGAGTGCGTCGCAGTTTCCGTCGAATAATCTGTTTGCGGCGGCTGGAGATGGAATCTGGGATAATGGGGCTGCTTGCGGGAGGCAGTACATGGTCAGGTGCATCAGTGCTGCAGTTGCTGATTCTTGTATAGCTGATCAGGTAATTCAAGTGAAGATCGTCGATTCTGCTCTAGCATTGAGGTCTCCACCCTCAGCTAGTGGCACCACCATAGTTTTATCGGAGACAGCTTTTGGGACTATTGCAAATAATTCAGCAGCCCCTACTTCCATTAATATGGAGTTTCAACTGTAAGTAGTACTCTCTCTTCTTTTATCTCTCTAGCTATAAATATTATAGATTCCAGTGGCAGTGATCGCCTTCCGTGCTCGATCGTTCCAGATTTTGTTACCAAATTATTAATCTCTATAGTAAATCTTTTATTATTAACAACCGATCCATTTGCCTAAAGAGATCGAGGTTGCTGTTTGCTTATTAATTAACGAAGTCATCATTCACGACTGGCTCTATATCTTAACTATTTATTTATTTATTTATTTATTTTTGGAGATGATTGATCTTTCATATATAACCAGCAGGATGTATATGCCCCCTTTAATTATTATTTACTTCGAAAGAGAAATGATGAGAAAACATTAGGTTGGTTACTGATACTGATAGATCTCTCTCTCTCTCTCTCTCTCTCTCTCTCTCTCTATATATATATATATATATATATATATATGCAGGGTATGACACGCAAAGTTCTTAACCTGAGGGTAAAGCTCAGAAAGAAAGAGGATGGATGAAAAGAAGATTGCACGATAAGTATTTTGTTTCTAGAATCGTTTACCCATTCATTGGTTATGTAAAACTCCTTTCTTTCTGGTTCTCTGTCATTTTTGTCTTATAATTAATGAAGGAGTGAGTACCTTCATTCATAATCTTCTTCTTTCTTGCGTGCTTCATGGTTTCAGAACCTTTTGAGCTCTAATTAATCAAGGTCTTTCGATGTTTTTGGCTTTTCTTTTTGAATTCTACTGTGTCCCATCATGGATAACTTCATCTCAATTTTAAGACCTGGTCATGTGATGGATAACTTAAAGCTAAACAGAGGTCTGCTTCCAATGCAAATGCAAATGGATATAGAGGTTCCAAGTTTACCTTTGATGGACACGGATGTTATTAAGATGAGTTCGTAAAAGTATAGTCGGAATATTTATATTTCGGTTAAATAGTTCTTCATTATCATATCTCTATCCCTGAGCTAAATCAATAATCAGAGAGAAAAGTTAAAAATATAAGGGTGATTTTGTTCAATTTATTATAAAAAGATTAATTTATCTAGTTCATATAGCAAGAAGGGTATTTTGATTTTTTTTTTGCCACAATTTAAATGAAAGGTCACTTATTTTTATTTGATTTATCTAACTGATATTGTTAACTTAAATTAGTGTCTAATACTTAATTATGTAATGAAAATGGATGAAAGAGTTAAAAAAAGGTTTTTAAAATTTAAATAAAAGGATTGATATTGTTAACTCAAATTAATGTATAATACTTGTTAGCACCTAATTTTAACTTGTTTATTTAATGAATTTTAAGAAAATAAAAAAAATAAAAAAAGGAAAAGAAAAGAAAAGAAAAGAATGATAAATTAAAAAAAAAAAAAAAACCGTTTTGGGATGCTGATTGAAAAACCAAGAAAAATAAGAGCTAAAAAAAATTTAATTGAGAGGCATAGTTGGGAGAATTGAGAAACCAATGGTCTTTAATTGAGGGAATTTGGGTTAAATTAAAAGGGATTAAAAGAAGAAGGATCAAAGAAATTCAATTAGGTGTACAATTAAGATGAAAAGAAAGAAGATAAGATTAAAGCACGAAAAGTGTGCAAAATTGAAAACCAAAACAAAGTTTATCAATCCGCCTTAAGCCCCACATATAAAAACTCCCTCTATCTAGCTAGCTACTGAGCATGCAAGAAACCCTAGAGGCAAAAGCCCCTCTCTCCAAAAAATCCCATCAACGCAAACCCTCATTGCTGTCTCCTTGACCCGCTAGCCAATCGTCGTCGATTGCCGCAAATCTGTCTCCATACCTACCAAACAACCTCTATAATAAAGCACGATTAAGATGAAAAGAAAGGAGATAAGATTAAAGCACGAAAAGTGTGTGAAATAGGAAACCAAAACAAAGTTTAACCATCCACCTTAAGCCCTACATATAAAAACTCCCTCTATCTAGCTACTAAGCACACAATACCCTAGAGGCAAAAGCCCCTCTCTCCAAAAAATCCCATCAATGCAAACCCTCATTGCTGTTTCCTTGACCTGCTAGCTAACTGTCGTCGATTTCACAAATCTGTCTCCATACCTACCAAACAACCCCTATACAAAACCCTCTCATAGATAAAATCCAACTCGTTTTTTGTTCATCTCAGAAATTGATCGATTTTTGGCCAAATTAAGCTCACAAGGCAAGCTAGACATACTCACCGCTAAATTCAAAGCAAAACCATACTAAAAGCTTGCTGATAAACACTAAAAATTAGTGAAAAGAAGTTTTAGCCTTGACCCATTTTCCTCTAGGATTTGATGTTTTTCGACCAAAGTTACGGTAGCTACCACCGCATAAATCCTCCTCAATCCTCTAAAAACTAGCTCTAACTTGAAATTATGGAATAAAATGGCAAAAACAACAAAAATTGATTGGCAGTTTGAACTCAATTTGTGACGATAAGGCCCATTTAAATTCTCCATTTTTTGACCAAATTAAACCATTTAAAGGCCAAATCGAAGCTCTTGTAAGTCATAGGTTGTTCTTTTTTATTTTAACTTTTAAAATCATCCATTATTACTAGAATTAGGTCGAAGAGTAAAGAGAAAAAAATTGAATCTTTTCGACCATCAACCTCCCTCTAAAAGCGACAAGTGAATAACACAACCATCACAAAAGAAACGAGGAGACCTATTCTAGTTGATTGAAATTAAGTCAATCTTCATCAAGATTAAAGAAAAGCGTATTTTGATAATTTCATATTTTGATGACATCTTAATAGTTCATCATAGCCTTTTGATTGCTAAATAAGCTATTGGAACTTTGAATTTTAATTTGTGATGTTTAAGAATATTTTTATGATTAATTGTGATTGCTTGATTAAAATATGATTCATTTATTTATATTATGAGTAAATATATCCTTATATAATGCTCAAAATATGTCTTTAAGTTTCTAATTGCATTTAGTTTATTTCTAAAAGTGTTTAAAATGTTCATTTTGTCATTCCGATCAATTTTTCTAGCTAAATGATTTTTTTTTAACCGAAATGCCATGAATTAAATGCAAAAAAAAAAAGAAAAAAAAAGAGACTTAAAATGGAACATGTGGGTTATATGACTTTAGGTGTTTGTTTTTTTTTTTATCTTAGTAAATGTCATTTCGATAAAAAAAAATTTAATAGTTAGAAAATTAGATTGAAAAAATAAATTGAACATTTCAAAAACTTTTCGAATCGTATGGAATGCAATTAAAAATTTAGAGACAAATAAAAGATTTTGAGTATTATATAAGTGGCGATTGATATATTTATCCTAATATTATTAAAGTGTACTAAGATATGTCATAAGATGCCGAACCTTTGGGGTTATAGATCTCTCGTAAATTGAGAAGAAATAAGGTCGATTAAATACTCCGTGATTGAGCTAAAAAGACGAGTTTAGTCTTTAATTTCATTGATTATCCAAGAGAAGTGCCAATCCTAGAAATTCATTGCTTGATTGAACTATTTTTGCTATGACTCGATTGAATTTTGCCAATATTACCTTTTGCTAATTTTGGCTTTTGCCAACTTTATCAATTTTTCCATTTGTACTTGTTTATGATTGAAAATCGCAAAACCTTAAATTGCATAGATTCGAGTCCCGAGTCGGATCATTTCTACATGTTCACCTAAAATCGTGATGCTTAAATTCACATTGATTTGAACCTATATTTGGATTATTTTGATTATTTTTGTTAATTTTATTTAATTTTTCATTTTTTCCATCGTTATCTCGTTTTGTTTATTTGCTTGATTTAAGTTATGTGCCTTTAAGCATTTCTTTAAGTCGATTTTTCACACATAATATTAAGCCTTATATTTTTACGCATAACCTTTTAAGTCATGTTTTTATACATATCATTAAGTCGAATGTTTTTGCGCATGGCCTTTTAAGTTGTGTTTTTAGGCATCTCGTTAAGCCATATACTTTGATGCATAACTTTTTATGCCCTATTTGCATGCATCTCATTAATTTGTATATTTTGCATATAGCTTTTTAAGTCATGTTTCCACGTATCTCGTTAAGTTACAAGTTTTTAGCATAGCCTTTTAAGTCATGTTTTTACATATTTTCAAATTAAGCTACATATTTTTGGACATAGCTTGTAAAATCATACTTTCATGTATCTAAACAAAGACATATTTTTGTGCTAGTTGTCAAGGCGACTTTTCATGAATTCTTAACGAAGTCGCATATTTTTGCACATTTATCATGTTTTTTTCATCTCGTTTTTATCTCTCGTTAAATTTGATACCCATTCATCTCAAAATGAGGATAAGGTCCCGGATGACTAAATCCCACATAACTCGATTGGCTAGCAAACGTTTAAAAATAGACATAGATTTTCTTCATAGAAAAAACTAGAAATCAAGTTCTCGGCATGTCAACGACTTTTTCCTAAAATTTTTAAGTGCAACATTCTCAACAACGCAACCATTAACAAAGACAATTCAATTGAAATAGCCAAGGAAATATAGGTCATAAAAAATACAAAGAAATATTACCACCTCTCTTCATTTCCCTTTGGAATCTATTTCAACACCTTATTGTTAATGACCAAATAAATCTTATGGTGAATACTCATTGACAACCTCCATTTCATTAGTGGTATAATCCCAATGATTCTTACAAGTATCATGATGGCGTAATTGGTCATAAATTCAAAAATTATTTTGGCTTTATGAATCACATTTGATCATTAATTGACTAGGGCTTGATTTCATTCAAAGATACCTTAGACACTCCAAATGTGAACAACAATCCTTTGCAAAACCATATTGTAATTGATAGGGTGAATATGGTTTCACCTGGATAATAGTGAATATGAAAACAAGAAATCAGTTTGGAAAGTGTCTATGCCATTTGTTAAGAGGTACATACCATGCTAATTGTAGGTAGCTTGAGGATAAAGAGAGAAGAACGGACGCCAAAGGTGGTCACTTTATCAAAGCCTTCATATGTTATTGATTCCTGTGAGAAAGACTTAGTCATGACTCAACCATGTTGTAATATGGTAATGAACACTCTAGGGGCGAGAAAGCATATACTAAGAATGAAGTCTTACAACTTGAGTCAAGGCTTGACGGTTTAGAAATGATGGTGCTTTCGTGATTTGTTCGGAAACATACATGAGGATGTCTTTGATGTTGACCAGTTTATTTGTAAAATCAATAAAGAGGAAGAGTTAAGCAACTAGTTTGATGAAAAAGTGCCTATTATTTACAAAGCTAAGTAATTTCTTTATTATGATTATCGTTTCCTTTCCGCCATTGTAGGTCCCGAATACATTATAAATAATTCTTATCATGCTTTTATAATAATATTATTTTGTAGGATCATACAAATTATTTTTAATAACCTTATTTGCATTCTTTTTCTATTTGTTTCATTTACATTTTTTACCCTCTCTTTAAAACATTCAATATGACATATCTAAACGACACCAAATGATCGTGCTAAAAAACAAAATCAATGTGATTCGATTAAAATGGATGAAGAAAGGTAGAATGACAATGAACATGAGGATGAAAGTGAGGAGAGCACACAAAGCCCATCAAAGAAAAAAATATGTGTGAGATCTTTATCTTTCATCAAATTTTTGGATGATACTTTAAAAAAGTGCTGCAATTTTCATGGATTGAGTTGTTTTTTTGAATAAAAAAAAATTCTATTATCTTAGCATGATTTAGTATTAATTTAAAATCAAGAGATATTTATTTCAAAGTATCATTTGCTATTTTATACCATCCATGAAAGGATCATGCATCCTATAGAGGTACGAAATAAAACAAAAATTTCCTCCATCTAAAGGGCCTAAGATCATGCCATTGAATCAATTAATTATATACTTATGAATTAAAGCTATAAATAAGGAATTACCT